CAACGAAGCTGCCAAACGAGCTGGCAACTGCCTTGCTATTGGCCCACCAGTCTCCATAGTGACGGTGATAGGCCGGGTGTCAGGCCCTCCCTTAAGTGCAATTGTTTATTTTTTATTAAAAAAAAAAAAAAATCTTTCCTCGGTGGTTCGCGCGGACGGGGCGAATCCCAGCTCCCCTCACTGAGGCTTGCTGGGAGGTCCGTGGCTCCAGCATGGCCCCCGTTGCATCGGGCCGTCCTCGAACCCCGTGCGCAGGTAGATGCTTTCCTTCGAGGCAGCGTGTCTTTCGGATGCAAAATGCGCTTCTCTGCAGCATCCGTGCCCGGCCCTGGGGGTGGAGCTGCCTAGACAGTAGTGATGGGGCTGCATGAGATGCAGGGAGGACGAGGTGTCTCTCAGTCCCGAGAAGTTGGCCTAACGGGTAAGTTCCTCCCGTGCTGGCTAACCTGGGGTTGTGCTAGGAAGGGAGCGGAGGAACTCTTTCTTCACGTCTCTGCTTCAAGCTGGTGATGTCCCTGCAAAGACTTGTCACAAAGTTGGATATCTCTTTTTAAACCGCTTTCTTCCATAGAAGTGTGAGAAATGGTACGTCCGCCTCTCCCTGGCTCTGCTGGATGACTTCTTGGTGGTCTTGGAGAGAGTCACTGCCATGCTCTCTCTTACTGTGCCCTTACAACTCTTTCGCATGGACCTGTGTGTAGCAAGGGCAGGCACCCTTTCTCCTGGGATCTGCTGTTGGGTTTAAACAGTTGTAAACACAAATGAAGTCTTGGGCAGCTGCTTCTGGGGTGAGCCCCAATAAGTGGTCGATAATACACAGCCTCAATGCATCCGTGGGAGAAGGGTCTGCAGTCGGAGGGTGGTGTGCCAAAGGGACACTGATACCCAGGGCCTTGGTTTTCAGACTCAGACAATTAGGGTTGGAAGGGACCTAGTCTTGGCCATCTAATCCCTTGGACATGTAGTCCAAGCAGGACCAGCCCCAACTCCATCGTCCCAGCTGAGGCTTTGTCTACCCGGGTCTTAAACACCTCCAAGGATGGAGACTGCACCACATCTCTGGGTGACCTGTTCCAGTGCTTTACTCCCCTCCTGGTGAGGAAGTTCTTCCTAATACCTTCCTAATTGCCCGCCGGATCTGAAAGGCCCAGCTCCTTCCTCCATAGCCTCAAAACCAGCTCTGAGCAAAAACTGCTCCCGGAGCCATTTCTTACAGCTTGGGGCATTCTGGCATGTGTGTCCGGGGGGAGGCCATCCTGCCACGGACCTGGCATACGCTGCTTAGCTTGCTGCTTCCTCAGAAGCCAGCGGCTCTCATGCATCTCGTTATCCTAGTTTAACGCATCTGATTAAAATCTGGCCTGGTTGAGATCTGACCTCTGCTGAGCAGGCTGCACCGAGCCTCCACCCCTTACCCCAGCCAGTCAGCGGAGCCTGGCTCGGCCCCATCAATCACAAGTGAGGGATGGCTTCTCCCGGGAGCCAATTGCAGGGCCTCGCAGTGCGGTCTCTTCCCTCCTGCCAAGCTCCATGGAGCTGCAGCCGCGCCACTGCGCAGCTGCCTGCCAGTCCGGTCCATAGCATTGCACAACTTGCGGCTAAACTATTACGTCCTGTTCCAGTGCCTTGTTCCAGCTGGCCAGGCTCCCTTTCTAAGGGCTGGTGCATGTCACTGCTGGATGTGGGGCGCTGGAAATGTGAGCCCGGTGTGGTGGCTGTCGGGACGCTCAGTACGGTGTCTGACTTTTATTTCCCCGATAGAATTGCAGGGGCTGTAAATCTCTTCCGAGGCCCCTCCCGGGCTGCTTGCTCTTGGCTGAGGCGGTAGTGGGGAGAGAAGAACCGGGGAAAGACGCTCCCTTCTTCTTTGCACCTTTTTCTAATAGCTCAGAGGGGTCGACCAGGTGTGGGAGTGAGTGCCTTGTGGAAACCTGCTGGCAGAGGCTGGAGGTCAAGTCCGTGGTGGGTATCGCAAGCCAGGTTGTAGCGTGGTGGCAGTGATTTTTGAAGGCGTTCTAGTTGCAAACTTACCTTTCTGTCTCCAGTGCAGAGCAGAGAGGATGTCAGATATTATGCTGGGAGATCAGGGCAGCAGAGAAACCTAGAGAGAATAGGAAGCGGCTAATAGAGCTGCCTCCACGCTGTTACGAGCCGTTCCTAGAACCCCAGAGCTCTGGTGGGGGACGTTGCAATGGCATGGGAGGAAGGAAGGGGTGGGCGTTGCAAGGCCCATTGGAGGGCATTTGGCAGTGGCTGGGCTGGAAAGCTATCCAGCACCCTCCTTGCCTCCTAGAGCACCCACTCCCACAGTGGCTGGGGGCAGCTGCGGGTGTCTGAGCTGGGGAGAGGTAGCCGGAGGCGGGAGCGCACCGTGCGGTGGGAGGGACAGGGCGGGATGGCGGGGCAAGTCTGGACCTAGGCAGGCAGCAGCAAACCGTGTCTGCACCTGGCAACTGTCTGGCAAGCTGCGGGGATTGGGAAACCTGTATCGCCCTGGTAAATATTAACTTTGGAGCAGAAAACGCCGTGCGGTTTACTGCAGGTCAAGTCGGTGCTGGGCTGCGGTAGAACCCGGGAGCCCGAGGAGGTGGATTAACCACCAGGTCCACCCTCGGCCTGTCTTTTTTTCACCATCCATCTCTCCACCCTGGCCCGTTCTCTCCTGGCTGCTTTCGAGCCGCTGGGGAGGATCAGGCAGCAGGTGCTGGTCCCCTGCTCTCCCCCGAGGCGGCTGCAGCGAGGAGGAGATGGGACCTGTGGCTGGCACTGAAGCCTGGGCGCAGCTTCTGGGAGCTGGAAGGAGGAGCCAAGGGGAAGCTGTGGTCTGGCTTTTAGTGCCAGGCATGTTGGGTCATGGTGAAGCCAAGACAGGCATGGCTGCCCGGAGTCTCCCACGCTTGGGGATCCTGCATGGCGGGGTGTGGAGGGCGCCCATGCCTGGCTGGAAGCGTGGAAGGGCTGTGTGGCCTAGGGGGCTCTGGGAGGACGGGTCTGCCGGCATCAGGCAGGTAAGGATGGACAGCACCTGAGCGCCAGCCCTTGCCAAGGCTGGCTCTAAACCCCCTGGAGCTGACCCTTCGCAGGCTCCTACAGCCGTGCCCTGTGTTCGGTCTGACTTGGCAGGGGAGGTGGGCTCGGGCCCGTGCCACCAGAAGCCCTTTCTGTTCACGGGCAGGCCTCGACTCGCAGCGTTTCGAGTTGCGACGAACGGCATTTACGGCGTTTATAAATCGACGCCCTGCTTCAACTTGGACGTTAGTTTTGATTTTACGACGCTTGATCCGATGCCACGCCAGCAACAAGTCCGCGGCATCGCCCACCCCCCTGGAGAACATCTGTCCAAACTTCCTTGGACACTTTCTTTAAGAAAGCAGACGAGACTCCCAAAAAACCCACAGCCAAGACCCCTTCAAAACGTCCAACCAAGTCACCTCAAAGAAGTCCTTCCACATCCATAGGATTGCTATGTACAATATAAATACATTAATGTAGCTATATGACTCATCTGTCATTGATCGAGTACAAAATTCTGGGTTATTTTTGGTGAAAATCGTGTATCAGGTCTTGGTTCAGGAACCGATCCCCCATTTATAACATTGTTTCCTGTGGGAAAATCGGTTCCATGTTACAACATTTCAACTTAAGACGTGGTTTTCAGGAACCGGTTGTGTCGTATATCCGAGGACTGCCTGTATTCTGGGCTTTGTGTCGTCACCCTCGCGTCCTGGAAAGCAGCAATAGACTTGGTTCCCCGCTCTCCCTCCCTCCCCCGTGCCAGCCTCGCATCTGTTTTAAGACGGGAAGAAACCATCTTTAACGCTTTGGGAGAAGCTGCCCAGCTCCTTCGCTGTTCTTGCCACCACAGTTAACTAGCCTGGCACTGGGCCACCCAGTCCACGCTGCCCGTCCCCCAGCCACCAGGCAGGGATTCATCCTGCCCACGGTGTTAGTTCAGACCAGACGAAGGTGGGTGCTTTGTGGGGAGCTCCAGAGTTTCTCCCGCTGCTCTCGTTTCCCCTTCTGGGTCCAACAGAACATCCTGCCCTGCCCTCCAGCCTCTGGTCTGCTGCCCCTCCACGCTCCTGCGGACCCGGTTCGGATGAAACGGGACA